TTTATGAGGAGCGGCTGAGGGAGCTGGGATTGTTTAGTGTGGAGAAGAGGAGGATCAGGGGAGACCTCACTGCACTTTACAACTTCCTGAAGGGGGTTGTGATGAAAAAGGGTCTGGCTCTTCTCCCAGGCAAATAGTAGGACCCAAGGAAATGGCCTGAAATTGTACCAGAGGAGGTTTAGGTTGGACATGAGGAGAAACTTTTTCTCTCAGAGGGTGGTCAGGCACTGGAATGGCTGCTCAGGGAGGTGGTGGAGTCGCCGTCCCTGGCAGTGTTCAAGAGGCGTCTGGATGAGGAGCTACGAGATATGGTTTAGTAGCTTGTGGTACTAATAGGAATGGGAGGGTGGTTGGATTAGAAGATCTTGCAGGTCATTTTCAACCTTGCGATTCTATGATTCTATGATTCACAGTGTGTGCCCCAGGCTGAGCTTGTATCAGTTCTTTTTCCTGTTGGTATAGAACAGCAAAACCTGATGGATGGGCGTGTGGCAGCTGTAAGCTCCCTGTCCCTCACAGGCTGAGATTTTGCTTGTAGGCAATGTTCCCATTGCCCCTTGCTTGATTCTGAACCAGGCCCCCTTTATCCCTTGCTGATCTCACTCACTGAACAGCTGTAGAGGAGCTGCTAGGTCACTGCTTGAACTGATGATTGAGCACCTAGTGAAGGGGTGTCGCTGGCACAAGGAAACTGTGCCTGTGCTCCCCACGGTCCCAGAAGGGGTGGAGCTACCCTGGGCTTGTGTAAGGCCTAGCCACTGAAGAGAGGACATCTCTTGGACCTAGGCTACTTCTCGCGAGGGAGTGCTGCACAGCCAGAGATCTCCTTCACCAATTGGATGAGTTCTTTAGTCTATATATGACTGTCGGTCTAACTGTGAATACTTTACCTTATATATCCAAAAACCTGTGAAGAAGCAATTTTGCTTCTTTATAAGCAGAACAACAGCATAGTTGCTGCTTAACTGAGATTAATATGTAACTTTGTTACAGAGCATTGCTCCCAACACTGAAGGTTAGTATAAACTTGGTTTATGATGCTGGGGCACTTAACTCATATTGCTTCTGGGCTAAGGTTTTGGGGTTTCTCAGGATGCTGTTGGAGCAGCACTGCTGCTGGCAAGTGTGATGTTCCTGGGTGTTAGGGCACTCTAGGGGGCAGTACAGGAGCGGGTGACAAAAGCTGATCTTTATTAGGAGCATGTGACAGGACTCACCAAACTGACTCCCGTGTTCTGCACCCTGCTGGTAGCCAGGAAAGCATCACACAGGCCATACGTACGATGGGATGGCTCTGGTGAGCTTTCAGTAAGTTAACGGATAGCAGGATGAAATACTTCTAATGAGGTCATTCTCTGGGAGAGAAACAATATCAAACATGTTTGGTATGCCAAGGCTACCTGATTCTTGATAAGCTAACAAATGCCTTCGGTTATCAGTGTCCTTAGAAAATCAGGGCCTGCTGTGCAGGCTGCCCCACAGTCAACAAGGAGTGGATCCCATGGGGTGTGTGCAGGGAGCAGGCAGTGAACAATGGCCTGGGGCTCTACCAGTAAAGCTGCCCTCTTAATGTCTAGATTAAGAACCTAGGGACTGTTAGAATAATCTGGCTTCCTCATGCTTCACGGTTTTTAAAATTTTTCTTACCACTTCAAGATGCAAACTCCAAACATTGGGTCAAACACCACTGCAGTTTCTGATCTTTCCCCTTGCCTGGTGCATGTGAGGGCTGGTAACCAGCCAGGTTGGGAACACTGCTCTGTAATTACCGGATAGGTACTGCTGCCCTGCTAATTCTTAAGCCGTTTAACTTATCAAGTAACTCCTTACTGTGCTATTTATAGGCAAAGGGATAAGTTGCAGTGTTGGTGTTAAAATTAAATTATACAAAACTAATCAGAACCTCTTATTTAATTGTTCTGGCACTGTATACTTGGGAATACAGTGCTGCTGCGCAGGAAGGCTAATGGAGCCTTAGGTCTCCTGGTATGTTATCCATGGGATGCTGTGCTGCCCATCTTCCTCATTAATGTGTTTAGAGGTTCTGTCTATCGTAACTACCTTTTCCTTAGAGGCTGAGTGTAAGGTGAGTGTGGTTTGAAAACTGCTTTATGTTGCTGATGAGGCTGTATTGGGATTTGCTGGAGGAGCTTTGTGACAGTGCCCTGGGGCTTTCCAGATCTTCCTTCTCATCTCAAGTGTCTGATGCTGTATGAATCCAGTGCTTTATGTGCTCTCCTGGTGCCAAATGAGCTGTGTGTGTGGTGAGAATTTATTGCTTTGTTGTTCCAGCACTTGCTTCAAGGGCAGGGCCCAGGCTGACCATATGTTTTGTTACATCCGGAGGGAAAGGAACCCCCGAGCAACTCCTCAGTGCTGACTGTGACAGAAAACTGTAAATCTCCATACAGAGACAGATGCACTGCTTCTTCCTCAAAGCCTGGGTGCTCATACCACTATGGAGGCACAGTGCTGGCATCCATCTGGTCCCTCTTCCTGGGACCTTGCTGTCCTTGAGCTGGGGTCAGTCTGGTCCTTTGGGAACAGGAACAGGGCCTGAGCGGCTCAGACCCAAACTTGTGTTTCCAGCTGGCTTGGGTCATGCTCAGCACTCTCCCAAACAAACTGCTGTGCTAGAAATTGCTCTACTGTCATTTCTTGTATGTGTTATCACAACGAAATTAATTTTCCATGAGGGAGCCAGCTGTTTCTTAATTAGAAGTGCTCTGAAAATACCAGCTAATAAATGAGTAGGGTAAGACTTCAGTGCTTATTTCTGCAATTGGACTTCTCTGATGTTGCTGTCCCAGGGTTGTTGAGTACCAGTTTTCCCCCCCACCCCTTCTGTATGCTCACTGAGGTGTGGGTTGGAGGGTGCAGGTCTCTGGGTGCTGCTGTGACCCTGTCATCCCAGCAAGATTGGCTTGTCCCTTAAACTAATGAGAATAATGTTACCTCAATCACTTGGGCAAACAGATTTTTGAATATTGCTTGTTTTCTATGTGAATAAATGAGGGTCTTCTGGAAATGCATTGAGGGGGGGTGGGGGTGGGGGTGGGGAGAGTTCCTGATGGTGGTTGAGATCCCCTCCTGTCCTTGTGCAGCTTTTTGTGATGTAGCCTGGCTGCAAACACTCTGTGGATGTGCTCTGAAGTGCTGTGTGCTCAAATTGAATAAAGAGAGAATGCTAGTGTAATTTCCCATGTGGTCTGATGTGATTATATTAGCCATATCTTGCATTGCGGAGAGCTGTTTTCTAGCTGAAACCTGGCTCAGCCATGCATGTTGCTCCCAGAGCAGGGGCCATGGTTACAGCCAATGATGACAATGATGCTGATGGCACTGTGACTCTGGCCTTGGAGGCAGCTGAGTTGTGCATTATGCAATTACAGTCTGCTCCCACTACAATCAAAAGCCAAGGGAAGTGTGGGCCTGTGTGGTTTTGAGTACAGCCCTGGCAGCTGCACTGAGCTGATTTGGGCACTGTGCGGGTATAAAGAGTGATATGTTACAAATAATGTGTTTTAAATGTAATTTCCTGGGACACAGGAATGAGTGTGTATAATGGCACTGGGTCATAGTGTGGGGTCCATGGCATCAGCTGGGGAAGTGAGGTCCTGGGGGGGTCTTTGGTGCATGGTTTCCGACCCTCTTAGCAAAGCAGTGAACATTGGAGAGGGCAGTGCTGCCTGGAACAAAGACAGGCTTGTTTTCACTTGAGTTCCCCTGAGGGTGGTAATGGCTGTGACAATCTGTTAAGGATTCCCACTGCAATTTCATGAAAGTCAAAATGAGCAAGTCATGTCATATGGGCTCCTGTGAGGCCATGCTTCATCTCCCCCGTTAGGGAATGGGGAAAACAAACACTACATTCAGCGCTGGACAAACCCCCCTGTTCCTTAAATTAGGTGGGGATTGGATGCTGATTTGTGTCTCTTCCATTCCTTCATGCTTCGCCAAATCTGATGTCACTTTATGTAGTGAATAGAAGGCATAATGGAGTAGAAAGCTAAATGACTTGTTCAGCATCAGCAAGCTGTTCTTTGCACTGACTCTGGCCCTGTGTGAGCTGTGAAGTGCAAACGTGGTGGGGCCTGGCTGCTGTTATTGCAGCCTGGTGCTGGTACATATCTCCAGCAGCTCTAACTATTCTCTGGCTTGCCTTGAGCAAACAAGGAGAGGCTGTGCCCTGTCTTGTGATTTTTCCTTTAGGGGTTTGGAAAGGGAAATGGCAAGCCTTGAATCCTTACTGTGATGGCTAAGGTGGAGGTGTGCCTTGCTAGTCCTTGTGCTGCTCTTTACACTCCAGCTCCTGCTCGCTGCTGTGCTGGTGTCACCCATCCCATGGGCAGGAAGAGGCTGAATTGCTGGGGAATACACTCTGACAAACTTTGAGGCAAATTCATCTTTTTCAATCTTTGCATTTGCGTTATGCACTCCTGTGACCTCCATCACTGGCACATTTGAAGGGCAGTGGATAGGCCAGGAGGGGCTGGGAGGAAGCATTAAATGAGCTCTTTTTGCTGCTAGCCCTTTGGTACTATAGTGGTAGTGTGCTGGGGCAGGCTGCAGCAGGCTGATGAAAAAGCACCTAAGCTATAGAGTGAGATATTTACTTATATGGGAAACACACTGAGTTGGACATGGGCAGAAGGAGGGTTTCATCTGAGGACAGCAGGAGAAGACACGTTTATGTATCCTGTTTTGAGGCACTAGTTTGGCTCACTTCTGAATTAAATGCCTGTCCTTACACAGCAGAAGACATAATACAACCTCTGACACCAATGGCAACTGGGCTGATGGGTCAGCTCATCGACTGGCTGCAAACGTGTTCTGCCCATGCCATGACTTCCACGGAACCTGGGTCACCCCAGCGTGTGTGGTCTAGAGCTGTGCCAGCAGCAGGGAGCTTCAGGGCAGTAGGAAAGCATTCAAAAGTTTTGTGTTTCACTTGCTTACAACAGGTAATGCTCATGGAAATATGTTTGTTTTTCTTGCAGTGAACACCTACCTCTTCATGATGCAAGCCCAAGGTATCATGATTCGTGAAAACATGAGAACAATAGGAGCTCAGGTGTATGAGCAGGTGGTCCGCAGTGCCTATGCCAAGAGGAACAGCAGTGTGAATGACTCAGGTATTTCTTTAACAATTATTCTAATTAAAACTTCCATTTCAATTGGAAATAAGGTTGAACTCAACTTCTCTTCCTTGAAGGAAATAATTTATGTTGATAAATGCAGGGTGGGAGTTTTGACTATTTTATATGTGTGTGTATTTTAGTTCAAATGTTTCACTTAAATAAAGGGTAGAAGTAAGTCTTGATACGCCTCAAATGAGTGGATATTGAGCTGCAAGCCTCTTTGCTTTCCAGGCACATCAGCATGTTAGATTCAATCACTCTGAGGATAAACACTTAAACTCCGACCCTTTAGCAGGAACTAGGTGATCTTAAACGTCCCTTCCAACCCAAACCATTCTATAATCAGCTTTCAGATTTAAAAACAAAACAAACAAAAAGAAAACAAACAAAACTTTTGGGGCTTATACAGGCTCACAGAGTCCTGGCATCACACATGGAGGAGCCTGTGCTCATCACCTTCATTCCCCAATACAGGGTGAATGCAATGAGTTAGCTGGAGAGCTGCCACCAGCCCTTGATCAGACTGTGGGTAGAGCACTGGGATCCAAGAGGCAGCCCAGGCCATTCCCACCCCTAACATACAGTTAATGAAAGGCTTCCAAGTGTTGCTGTAAATACAGTGCAGCAACAGAAGTGTACTGTTTGTATATAACGTGGCATGAGGCATTGCTCAGGAGCTGGGGCTAGCAGGTGTGACACTGAGGATGCGTTCCTGGCACCCACATGTCACCCGCAGTCATGTTGCTGCTGGCTCCATGTGCTGAGCTGCAGCATGAGTCTGCAGTGTGTCACTAGAGCTATGGAAGCTTTAAAGGTCAGGATGGCTTCCTGGGTTGTGTTTTCTTATTATTATTTATAAAATGCTGTGTCCCTCCTGCTCAGTTTGGGGCTGGAAATGTCAGCTGAAGATGCCTGTTGAGGAAGGAGCTTGCTGCAAACTAGAGAGAAGGAGACTGGGTGCTTTGGTGATGTGAACCTCTAACTGGTGGGCTGTCATAGGGTCTGAGCCCTCTGAAGTTGGCCATCAACTCTATGAAGTGGGCAGTGAAATGCTGCTGCCGAAAGAACTGGCTGTGCCCAGACAGCAGCTCTGCAGATGTGGATGGACAACCTCTCTGCTCTAATCTGCTATACACCAGCCTTTTGTGGCTCTCCCCTGGCTGTGAGGTTAGAGCAGGTGGTTGTGGCAGCGTCTGTCAGGGCATGTGGCCCTGTGACCACAACTACGGTGCTAACACTGGGTCAGCACCTTCCTCTCTGAGTGTTTTCAGAGCCCTCAGCATGATCTCTGTGGGCATGCTGTGTATATCCGGTGATGTAAGTCTTCTCGCTGTGTGAGAGCTGAGGGATCCACGCCGTGCATGCAGGCCACGTGGCAAATAAGCCATCAGAAGGCAGCAGAGGCTTCAGGGCATGAGGAAACTGGCTCCTTCCTGGTTGCCCCAGCACCCAGTGGGCAGGAAGCTGCTAATGTTCTTTGAGCATCCCCAGTGAGGCAATGAAAGGCAGCATCTCTGTATGGAGCTGGCTTGTGGATGTGTGTGCCTTCCAGCCCCTGCAGCTTTAATTTCTAGGCAGGTGGCTTAAATGTGGTGTTTGGTACTGAATGGCAAGGTGGCAAAGCACAGAGTGGTCAGCTGCAAGGACAAAGTCCTTCTACTTTGCCTGCTATATTCATGGTTTGCTGTGTTTTTTGCCCCGTTATTAAAATGAAGAAGTAATTTATGACTTCTTAAGCATTTTATAGTAGATGCATTAATAAATTTCTGTGCAAGTGAGCCAGGAAGATCCTGTCATGTTTCAGCAACAAACAAAGCACTCCACGCAAGGAACAAGAGCTGAGTTTCACTCTGTCAATGAAATTAAGCATTGAGAGCATGTTGCAGTGGTATGAGCTTAATGGGAATCTGTTTATTAAAATCTAGACAGTATCACTAATATGTAGGGAGGAGAGGGCAGGAGTTGGAGGTGATGAATTCCAGTGTCCCAGTGGGCTTGGGGTATGGGGCTGCCTGGGATAAGGTAGTTGCTGCAGGGACAAAGCCCTTGGAAAGGGCTGAGAAAGTGGAGAGGCAGCATCCTCCCATGACAGCTGATGCATTACTACAGAAAGGAAACTTCTCGTGTGCTGGGAACATAAGTTGTGGTAGGCTGGAGCTGCATATACAAAGTTAATGATTGAGTAGACATAGAAAGTGGAATTTCATAACTGTGCAAAGATATAAAGCAGCTGGAGGTGCCAGCAGTTCAGGGGCTTTCACCAGAAGGTGAAAGGAAGTGGAGGAAGAAATGCTTGAGAAATGGGCTGTGGCCTGCTGGGGTGTAGAAGCTCAGCATGAACCCTGTGATCCGCATCTGGCTCCATGCTGGCCCTGTATTCCTGAGCCCTGCAGGATGCAGTAGCTTCTTCTTCACTGCACCCCTTTGCCTTGACCTGTCTGTGATGCCTGAAGGCAACAGTCTAATCAGGAAGCTGACAGTTTCTCTGGCATGGCTTCACCCAAGGCACTGAGGCTGCACCTGTGGCACTGGGTCATTGTGCCAAACCAGGGGCTTGTGCCTCATGAGGACACCCCTGTGACACTAGGAATGTGCTCAAGGTGTTGGGGTTTGCTAATGGTGGACAGGCAAATTGGTGTAGACTTTCTTTTCCTTTTTTCCCCACTTCTCCAGATTATCCTCTTGACTTGAATCACAATGAAACCTTTCTGCAAGCTACAACTTTTCTTCCTGAAGATTTTACGTACTTCCCCAACCACACCTGTCCTGAGAGGCTCCCTTCTATGAGTGAGTACTCTGCGTGCCCAGCAGCTCCGTGCCCCTTACCTATCATGGCACAGCACACTATGGCACTCTGCAGCACCCTGGTTCAACTCTGTCCCAACTACCCCACAGTGCTCCAGGGATGAATGATAGATTTGTTCTGAACTGTCCCTTCCTGGGAAATCTTTTTTTTACATGATTGCAGATATTAATTCCTGCTACACTGGAGGCGTGTCTCCCTCCTGAAGCTTGCCTATTGCCTGGTAAACACGAACAAAAGGGGAATTGTGTGCTGCTAGGCAGTTAGGAAGCTGGGCAGCCCTTTTCCAGCTCCCTGACTGCAAAATGAGCACAGGCTGCAGGGTGCAGTATATAGGAGTAATGCTCCTGCATAGGCAATATTAATTGGAAAATTAGCATTTGCAAGGTAGATGTTTCTGAAAAGGGGAAAATGGCTCCTTAGTTGTCCCCAGTGTCTTGGGACGGAAGAAGCCACCTGTGCTTGGTGCTGAGGACATGGCAGGGCCAGGCAGGCACCGCATAGTTCCTGACCCCCTCCTCCTGCCACCTCCCCAGAGGGCCCCATTGATGTAAATATGAGCGAGATTACGATGGAGGACATCCACCAGTTCTTCTCCAAAGACCCTTCCATCAAGCTGGGAGGCCACTGGAAGCCGAGCGACTGCCTGCCTCGCTGGAAGGTGAATGGGCACTGAGGAGCACCTCAGGGCAATGGGGTACTGGGGATGTTGGAATCTACGTATCTGATGTGCTGCAGAGTGGTGGGTGTGAGGATTCTTGGGAGGTGGGACTGCAGCAGCTGCAGAAGAAATGCTGCTGCTGATGGCTGTGTTAATGACACATGAGTCAGCTTTGGATTTCTGCGAAGGCTGTAAAGAGGCTGCAAGGAATTTGCCCACCTGGTTCCCACTGATGAGCATCCAGCATGTTCCTGTCCTGTGTGGGAAGGAGTTTCCCTGGGGAGGAGAGGTGACAGGGAATCTACCCAGAGGGAGTGGCACAGTGCAGTGTAGCTGTCCTGCTGCTGCCTCTGTGCTGCTGGGCAGGGGCACAGGGATGGGGGCTGCAGGCCTTGCAGGATCAGCAGAAATTCCCCCAGAAGTGAATACCAGAGCCCTGACATGGGGGTGGGAAGGCATTCAGGCTGCCCAGCCCTACGTGGGAGTCAACTCATTCATACAGGGAAGAACAGTGCTGATGCTGTGCGAGCAGGCATCTCCTTGGTTTGGGGTCTGCAGGGAGCTGCTCTTGGGTTGCAGCATGAGCTTTTTTCCTCCTCAGGTGGCGATCCTGATCCCATTCCGCAATCGCTATGAGCATCTTCCAGTCCTTTTCAGGCACCTTATTCCAATGCTGCAGCGTCAGCGTTTACAGTTTGCGTTTTATGTCGTGGAACAAGTAAGTGGTCATGATGGGCAGCGCTGGTGAGTATGTTCTGGTGTCAGTGCAGCAGCAGCTTGCCAGCACAGTTCTGTTTTGTGTCCTGAGGGAACTCCCTGCTAGATCTGAACTTCTGAACCTCTGGTGTTAATGTTGCAATGTTTAAATTGTCCCATCTTAAAATTGGCAAAGATGTTGTCCCAAAATGACTGCTTTTAATCTAAAAAATAAAGCAGACATTCAAATTTCTTGAAAATACTACACTTGAGGAGTTTGTTATTATTTTTTTTTTTAAGACATCTTTGAAGCAGGCATTTTCAGTTTCCACATTACCTTTGTGTGTCTGTGGCATCTTCTGGGCCTCAAGGATGTGCTCAGCTCTGGTCCATGTGATCTCTGGGGGGCTTCCACTAATGTGGAACATCAGGCTGTAATTTGATGTGCGTATGAACTGTTGCTTGAGCTATACAGCTTCATCTACTCTGTAGACATGCCTTCTTGTTTAGTTGTCCTTGCTCTTCTGGGTAGTAGCCAGTGAAGATTGTTAATTTTTTTTTTTTTCAAGTATATGACTAGTAATTTTCACATCTTTATTTTTGCTATTGTACGTTCCTGGTATGTAAGCTTTGGTTAATCCCACTAATCTGTCTGTTTCAAGATATCACTTCTTTCTGAGCAGTGGACTGGGGATCGGACTGCTCTTCAGCTCCCTCAGTCTGTGTGGGAATGCCCTTGCATGGCATGGGACTCCCTTTGAAGGTGCCTCTGTTCTGTTCTCTAGGCTGGTACTCAGCCCTTCAATCGTGCCATGCTCTTCAATGTTGGCTTTCGGGAAGCGATGAAGGACTTGGACTGGGACTGTCTCATTTTCCATGATGTGGACCACATACCTGAAAATGACCGCAACTATTACGGGTGTGGACAGATGCCGAGACACTTTGCTGCCAAACTGGACAAGTACATGTACCTGTAAGCACTGTTCTTCCTCTGCACTGCAGCAATAGATAAGGAGCAGTGTTAGATTTTCTTATCAAAGGCAGGAGTGTAAAGTAAAACATTAAAAGGAGAATGGAGGAGAGTATTCTCATAGCTCTGGCAGGGGCTATGTGGTGGCTGATGCCTTGGTCCTGACCTCTCTCTCCTGCTCAGGCTTCCCTATAATGAGTTCTTCGGTGGGGTGAGCGGTCTGACTGTTGAGCAGTTCTGGAAGATCAATGGTTTCCCCAATGCCTTCTGGGGCTGGGGCGGCGAGGATGACGACTTATGGAACAGGTATGTCTCTGCCTGTGTCCTGCAACCCTGTAATGGGGTAGCAACAGAGCTTTGTGCAACACGCTGCTGCCGCCAGCTCTGTGGAGCACAGAAATTCCAAGAACTCAAATTTCTGAGCATGGTGCTAGGAGCAGCATCAGACTCATAGCATTGTTGTATCCTTGCTGTGTTGTGCTCAACTGAGCTGGGCAGAGCCAGCCTGGCTGACGGTGACATAGGTCCAGGTGGGTGGCACTGCAGGCTACAGATAGAAAACAAACTGAGGAAGACTGGCTGTGAAATAATGAGCTTTGTTTGCAGTTTTCCATGGTGGTGATGTCAAACAATCCCCAGCTGATCTTTGGGTACCTTGAGGTGCTGAGATTGGCACAGCATAGGCAGAGGTGGGGGGTTTGCACAGTGTATCTGCCTGGTGGAAAGACAAAGCTGCTGTAGAAGCCATGAGTGCACTGATTGTACATGGTGGCAGTGTTCACAGCACAGCATGTGCAACAGTAGACTTTTTTTCTTTCCCTTTCCAATGCAGAGTGCAGTATGCAGGCTATTCAGTGACTCGACCAGAAGGAGACACAGGGAGATACAAATCAATTCCCCACCATCATCGAGGAGAAGTGCAGTTCCTAGGAAGGCAAGTGATTTTTACTATTACTCTTAAGGAACCTGAGACCTTAGTGAAATTTACAGTATGTACAGGGCTCCTTGCAGCTGTTAAAGGGCAATAACAACTGTAAGCTGTGAAGAAGACGAGAGACAAACTGCTGCTGGGACTGCTCTGACACATTAATGTGAAGGCAAGGGGATCCTAGTGTGCCTGCAGCTCCTCTGAAGGCTGCCCTTCCTGCTTTCTGCCATGGTGTTGCCCACCTAAGCAGGGTGACCTTACCACTTTCCCATGGAAACATTTTGTTATGCTGACATTTCCTGATGCTATCAGGTCTTTGAAGCTAGCTTAGGCGCATCCTCCTTTGCTGTGACCCAGAGCCTCCTTCTTCCTCCTGGCGTATCTGTTTCTTAGTACTTTTCCTGCTCCAACTCCCCTTGGCATCCCCTTGCCCTGAGTGCAGCTAGGTGTCAACACAGCTGTACTGCAGGGTGGAGGCTGGGTCCTATCCTGCCACCAGACTGCTGTTTTTTTGTTTTCTGTGTTTTTTTTTGTTTTGTTTTGTTTTGTTTTTTTTAAATCATGTTTCCTCTAAATTTGGTTGAAGCTGCTCTTGTTGCAGTTTCCTTCCCCAAAATACAATTCATCTCCTTTCTCATCACTCAGACTAACACCCTTAGATCTGCTTTTGTGCATGATCCGGTTTCCTAAAAATGGTGAGGACTTCCACCTCAGCCAGGAGCTGGAGCTTTCCCTGAGCCCAGGTAGACTTTGGGCAAGAACTGGAGAACAAACAGCGTCTTTATTAAAGTGTAGAATTTTGTGATGCTGGGAATGCCTGCATGCCAGGAATTCACAGAAGGCGATGTGACATTGTTTCATGGGCCTCTGCTTCTCTCTGAACAGGTATGCCTTGCTGAGGAAGTCAAAAGAAAGGCAAGCTCTGGATGGCCTCAATAATTTGAACTACTTTCCTAATGTCACATATGATGCCTTGTATAAGAACATCACTGTCAACCTGACACCAGAGCTGGCTCTGGTAACTGAATATTAAGTGGAGAAAATAACTTTGTTCTGCCCTTCAACAAGAGAACATCACACCTGACTTTCTTTTCCAAGGGTTGTTGAGGACAAAATACTTTGTCTAATGAAGGATCACAGTATTTTGGAATATAAGGCTGAAAGTGTGTGCACAGATTGTCCCAGCTGGCCCAGCCCTACCCGGTCCTCATGTGCTGAGCTCCACAGGCTTTTTTGTTCCCTGTCATTTGCTTTCTGGGTTTCAGGACAGCTGTTGGAGCCGCTGCTCTCATCTTCACATTCCTCCAGCAATCCTCAGCTCCGGGCTCAATTAGGGCACGTTCTTTCCTCTGGCAAGTGTTGGGAGCAATGCAGTTGGAACTGCCCTGGTGGGAGACCAGACAACTTCTGGTACCATTCTTCTACGTTTGTGCTGTGTTTTTTTTTTTTTTTTTAAATGACCTGCTTAAAGTATACACATCAGAATCGCTTCTTAAAGAAGTGTAAATGTAAATATGCTGTGTAAATTGCCCATTTTTATTATCTTCTAAGGTTTGAATCCAAGCTAGAGGTTTACATAAGGTCACTCACTCATCTTAGTCCTGAGTTCTGTACGCACTTGTGTGTGCATTACTGTATGTGTGCAAGTTGTTCCCTACTCCACCAGTGAGAATGCTTGCATGATTTAATCTATGCATATGCATTAATATTTGTGGGACAGAGCCCTCAGCATTAAAAGCAGCAGGTAAGAAATACAACTATGTTGTCACTCCTTACAGAAATCATGGAGGTGGCTCCTTCTGGGAAGAGAAAATAATATTTCTATCATGTTTGTGACATACTGTGCAGATCAGTGTGAAGCTGGATGGGATGGGATCCACCACCTGTTCTGCACAACACAATGGCAGACATGGCTCTGTGCTCCTGGGGGCTCACCTAGTCCCTGCCATCCTCATATGGAGCAAAAGGGATCTAAGGGTTGTTCTGTGGAAGAGAATTAGGTAAGCCGTGAGTGAACCCAGTGATGTGGTTGCCACTATTGGCTACTTGAAAGCACTGGCAGGAGTGCAGCTGGTGGACAGGCTGTCTGCAGATACCGGTACGGGATAGATGAAGGACACGTGAGTTCAGCTTATGCAAGCTTGATGACTAGGAACCTGACAGCTTGGTCTGGTGCCCCATTCAGCCTCTGGAATCCTCTGCCCCCATCCTTGCTCTGCAGCAGACTGGGCTGTGACTGTCCCATCCCCTTCTTGCCCTGAGTCAGTCTGTAGGTTACACAGCATGTATACAGTCATTTTTACTGGACTTCCCCAACTTAAAGGTAAATATATTGGGGGTTGTGTTTTAAATTATATTTATACAAAGCACTTGTGAGTATTTAATCTCAGAAGTACTTTAACTTACTGCATTGTTTACCTTAGTTTTCCTTCCTGTTCATAGTTTACATTCTTTTCTTGGACGTGTGATCCCCACATGCATCTGTTGTGGGAGTGACTGCCCAGAGCATTCCTAACCTGTATCTGGAAAATGAGGGTTAGAAAACAGTTCTGGTGTTGCAGATCTAACTGGCCAGCATGAGAGGACAGCGAGCCTGCCCTTGAAAAGTGCCGATAGTTTGGAACCTTAGGTTTAAATCCTTTGAATTTACATGTGCTTTAAAGTCACTTCCTAAGGGGATTCAGCGTGGTTATTTATAGGCAGAGGTGAGGATTTGCTTTTTATGACACATATAGCAATAAAGACTTCCATTTCTGAATCTTGATCTCTAATTCACATGATCCTTTTCAGATGGTAAACCTGTGTTGCCCTAACCCTCATTTCTTTAATCTTGAGATGTTGCTAGAAATTTCTTTGTTTAATGGTGCTTCAAACAAGGAATGTATTTCAACTTGTCTACGTTCACTACTGCAGGAAATCATGCGTGTGTGTGAGTAGGTGTTTAACTACCTTTGTTTGAATCCTCAGCCTTTGAAGTGTATCTGACCTCCATTGCACCTTGTGTTGAACAAAGTGAGATGTTACCTCTGCTCAGAAATGCACTGTACAGTTGGCATAAGAGTCCATTTCACCTTTAGCAACATCCTGTTCATAGTTTTTGTTCTAATTATATTGAATTTCTCCCTTTTTAAAATGTGGAATACCTTAAAATGTGCACTGTTAATCTTATTAGATATGTCAGATACTTTATAGTAAGTGTAACTGTTAAAAACATACTGTCAAGCACATGTGCTGTTATGATGTAGAAATTCTCATATCAAGGAGAACTCGTACATATTACAGCTGAAATCCAATGAAGCTACTTGTTCGCCCTTTCCATGTTACCACAGTATCACAGTCCCATGGAGGGCAGGACATGTTCAATGCTGACTTTATTTTTAATAAGCCATAGGAGTTTAATTTGGAAAAGTATTTATTTTTGATTTGCTGTTAGTAAATTTGTAAAGCTCTGCTTGTCTAGGGAAGGTAACGTGTGAGCAACAGCCACAAGCTGAAGTTGCTCACCAGCGGAAGTGGCTTCAGACTATAGTGTGTCTTTCCTGTCCTTGCTCTTGAGCTTATTGAGCTTACTGTTACGTTTTTAAGAGGTGCCGGGGGACATTTTTTGCACTGAAGACTAAGTGTTTTAAAACACACACACACACACTTCTCAACAAAGCAATCCTTTATGTTATTACATTTATTTACCCATGTCTTTGTACATTTTTGTATTTGTTAATTTATGAATGATTTTTTTTTCAGTAAAAAAATACATATTCAAGAACAATGCTGGCAGTGGCTTCTTCTGAGTTTTGGGATGTTGGGGTGAGCTCAGGGGTGAGTAGTGCAGGGGGAGGATGGAGTTTCTGGGGTGGTCTTCTGCAGCATGCAGGGTTGTTCCCAACTGCTGAGGTCTGGATAGGAGTGGAGGCAGCTGCAACCCTGTTCTCTTAGCATTGGAGCTGACAGAGATTGCATTTATGATCAGGCAAAGAGCTTCCTTATGAGCTTTCAACTATCTTCCTCCTGCTCTGCTAGAAAAAAGTAGCTGTCAGCCTTGGTTTGTCCTAAGCCTTGCCTTTATTTAGCTCTCAGCCTTTCAGGAAAACTGCCTCCTCCCTGTGGTACTGGGAAGGCCGCTTTGTGGGGGGCTCCTTCTACTACTGGTCACCCTCTGAGGCTGGGGGTGGAGGTGGGGGGTGATATGTAGCCCTAGCTTGGCTGTGGCAGAAAGGAGAGAGCTTGTGCCTCACTGAACCCTGAAACCAGCTCCTGGCTGCCAGGGGACACCAGCTATGAACATGGCTGGAGGAGTACATTGCCGCGAGTAGAAATTCGGGTGTGGTGCTCAGGGACGCGATAGAGTGGTGGGTTGTTAGGGTAGTACGGTTAGCTTGCAGTTGGATATGCTGATCTTGAAGATAGAAATCTCAGAGTGGTGAGGCCAGGTACGAAAGCTGTTAATAGTTTGCTAATGTAAAAGTTGCTAGGTTCTTTTGGGTTGCTCTGCTAATTGTTGCAAACAATCCTTGGCTTCACTGCACACATCTGTCCTATTGATACCAGCTTTTTTCATCATCAGAGACACTGGAAAAAATAAAAACCTGGCAACATCGATTCGATCATTTATTTATTTATTTATTCACAGACCTTCATAAACAGCACAGGTTTACTAGGTTTGCAGAAGTTTTCCGGATTGGCAGGTCCCCAAGCAATCCCGTCGTAGATGATGTCTCCGCGGTCTCTGCTGCCCTCGCGTGACCAATCCGTGGAACTGCGTCCGTTTTGTGTCGCGGGCAGCACGACGCATGCGCGCGGCCACGTGGAAATGTCTTGAGTCTGTTGTCGTCCCTCGGGCGGTTATAGGCCGAATCCGTACCGGAAACGGACCCTTTTAGATCCCAGCGGCGCCTGCGCCCGTCATATGCGTAATGACGACATAGCGTAAGCGTAGTGCCGTGTTGGGAGGAGCGCATGCGTACTGTTGTGTCTGGACTGCCGCATGCGCAGTGCCATTCCTACGGGTCGGGCATATGCGCAGTGCAGTGTCGGGACAGACGCAACCGTAGTGTTAAGTGGAGAACGGCGCGTACGTCGAGAGGCGTAGTGTGATGTGGTGATATATGCGTATCTAGTGCAATTCTAAGGCGCAAGCACACTGCAGCTTTGAGACCAGCGCATGCGTATTACAGTGCTGGCGCATGCGTAGTGTTGTGGCGCTATCGGCGCATGCGTAGTTCAGTTCCGAGGGTGGCGCATGCGTATAGCAGTATAGGACGAAGCGCACGCGTAGTGCTGTCTCCAGAAGGGTGCATGCGTAGTGCAGCTCCAAGATGAGCGCATGCGTAGTGCACGTCTGACACCGGCGCATGTATAGTAGTGAGCTGAGATCGGCGCATGCGTGGTGCAGTGTCGACAAAAGCGCATGCGTAGAACTGTCGCCAGAATGGCTCATGCATACCTCAATTCTAAGACGGGCTCATGCATATTGTAATTTCGAGACTACCGCATGCGTAGTGTTGCGTTGAGGTCGGCGCATGCTTAGTGCCGTTCCGAGACAGGCGCATGTGTATAGCAATGTCGGACGACACGCATGCGTAGTACTGTCTCCAGATAGGCGCATGCGTTCTTCAGTTATAAGACGGGCGCATGCGTAGTGTTGAGTCAAAGGCGGCGCACGCGTAGTGAAGTTCCTAGATGGGCGCTTGCGTAGTGCAGGGTCGGATATCGCGTATGCATATTCACGAGAAGAAATCGGAGCATGTGTTCTGTAACTCGGATACTAGCGCACGCATACGTCTAAGTCGAAATCGGCGCATGCGGAAAGTAGTTCCCAGAACCAGCGCATGCGTATTGCAGTTTACAGATGGGCGCATGCGTAGTGTTGAATCACGACTGGGGCATGCGTAATGCTGAATCCAGATCGGCGCATGCGTAGAGCAGAATCGGTATTGGCGCATGTGTAGTGATGATTAGAAATCAGCGTATGCGTAGTGCAGCTCAGATACTAGTGCATGCGTAGTGGTGTGTCGAGACATGCGCATGTGTATTACTGAGTTGAGATCGGCGCATGAGTGATGTAGTTCTGTGACCAGCGCATGCGTATTGTACTTTTGAGATAAGCACATGCGTAGTGGTCTACAGAGATCAGCGCATGCGTTGTGCAGGGTCAGAAATTGACGCATGCGCAGTGCTGTCTTAGAGTGGCGCATGCGTGCTACAGTGCTAAGACTGGCGCATACGTAGTGTAGCTCCGAGACGCGCGCATGCATATCGCAGATTTGAGAGCGCATGCGTATCGTGGTTTTGACACAAGCGCAAGCGTAGTGTTGTATCGAGATCGGCGCATGCTTTGTGCAGATCCAAGACTGGCGCATGCGTATTGTTGCTTTGAGACAAGCGCATGCGTAGTTTTTATTGAGACTGGCACATGCGTGTTGTTGAGTCGAGATCAGCGCGTGCGTAGTATTGAATCGATCACTTGTAGTGCTTAGCTTAAACACTTGCTGTTTTTAAGTTGTCGGGCACATGTTTGCTATTAGATCACTCTGAAACATCACCACAGTATCACTCCAATGTCACAGCAGTATCAATCCTCAGTATCGCTCCAACAATGTCACTCCTCAGCTTCACTCTTTGATGTTGAACTCCAGTGATACTCCAACATCACCCTCCAACGTCACTTCCCAACATCATTCCAATGTCACCCCCGAAGCATCACCCCAACATCACCCCTATATCATCACATCACCCCAGTGATGCTCCCTGATGTCAACCCCAAGTGATACCCCAACATCACTCACATTGGGTGTCAACCCAGTAACGTCACCCCCAACATCACCCCTCAGTGTCACTCCAGCAATGTTAACCCAGCATCATTCCCTGATATCAGCCCCAGTGATACCCCAACATCACCTACCAATATCACCCCCACATCATAGCAGTACTACCTCCCAGCATCTCCCCAACAATGTCACTCTTTCATCTCATTCCCCAGAGATACCCCAATATCACCCAATATTGTCACTGCACAACACTGACATAGTGTCACCCCTGTGTCACTCCAGTGTACCCCCACCAGTGTCACCCCAACAATGTAACCCCAATATCACTCCCTGATGTCACCCCCCAGTGAAACCCCAACATCATCCCAGTGTCCCTGCAATGTAACCCCCCAGCTTCACCCCAACAATGTCACCGCAGGGTCACTCTGTGATATCACCCCCAGCAAAACCGCAACATCACCCCACAGTGTCACTCCCCAACGTCACCCGGTGTCACTCCAACATCACCCCCCCCATCATCACACCAATAACATCACCTCCTGTAATGCTGTAACATGATGGAAAACAACAATGATAGTAGAGAAGCAAAGTCCTAGGCTGCAGTAAGTAAGTGAGGACTTGTTCAAATGCAGCAGTCACAAACACAGAAACAAAGAACAAAATCTGCTTAACACTGGAAGAAGTCATGCAAGCGGGGACCTCCAGCAAAAGCCCCTCATTTCCACTGCCAACATTACATGAGGCCTGGGAGGCGGTGGATCCAGGATCCACCCCTTCTGTCACTCAAGTCAGTTTCATGCACCTGAGCTCCTCTGGTTTGTCCCCATTCAATCATTGTTTCAAGCCACGACTTAGGGTTTCCACTACACCCCCCCCCCCCCGCAACAATATCACTCCAGCATCACTCCCTAATGTCCCCCCTGTGATATCCCAACATCAACCCCCAGAATCACACCCCAACGTCATCCCAGCATCATCCCAGTGTCAGCTCAGTGTCACCCCCCAGTGTCACTCCAGCTAGTTCAACCCAGCATCACTCCCTGATGCCACCCTCCAGTGAAAACCCAACACCACCCCCCAACATCACTCCCTGACATCACCCGAGCATCACCCCTATGTCAGCCCAGTGTCACTTCCAGAGTTGTGCCAACAGTGTCAACCCCCCAGCATCACACTAAGTCACCCCAGTGTCTCCATTCAGTGTCTCTTTCTGATGTCACGCCCCAGCGATACCCCAACATCACCCCCCAGTGTCAGTCCCCATGGTCAGTCCACAACTTTACCCCAGTGTCATCTCAGGATCACTCCCTGGTGTCACCCCAACTTCAGTTTGCACTATTATCCCTCTAGTGTTACCCCAATGTCCCCCCTCCCAACATCACTCCAAGATCATTCTTGCTGTCACCCTCCCACTATTCCCCTGTCCCTCCCTGCCCCCCCAGTCCTCTACTGTACACTCTCCCAACCCCCCCTGCTGGTGCTGGCCCCCAGCAGCAGTGAGGTGCTGCATGAGCAGTTCTGTGTCACCTCCAGTGTCATCTCCCCCAGCACCTGTGGAGACAGTCTAGCACCTTGTCTTCCCTGTCTCCCATGTCACCATGAGCCCTCTGTGTCCCCCTGTGTCACCATGTTCCCTCTGTGTCCCTTCTGTATCCCCCCATGTCCCCTCCATGTCTCTGAAACCCTCTGTGAGCTTGTGTCACACCATTGTATCTTTGTCATTGCCATGTTCTCTCCCAGTGTCCCCTCTGTGTCTCCTCCCCATCAAGTCACCTTCACGTCTCCGTATCTTCTCCATATCCCTGCATCCCACCAGTGTCTCCATGTCCTGGGTCTCGCCATGTCCTCATGACCTTGCCATGGTCTTGGCAGGCAGCACAGGGCAGCCCACGTGGCACACCAGTGCCCCCACTGCTGTCCCCACGGTCACCAACGCTGTCTCTGTCACTGTCCCTGCTGTCACCGGTGCTGTTTCTGCCACCTCCTCACAGTTGAAGGCCACTGAGGACATGCCCCTGGGGGGATATGAAGACATCAGGGAACACTGGGGACATTGAGGGGACAGGTGCCCTCACCGAGGTGGCCCTGGCCCTGTGGAACTCTGTCCCTAGAGGGGTGCTGGATGGTGACGATGCCCTGCATCTCTATGGTAATAGGTCTTCCAGGTTTGTGGATGTCTCTGGAGCTGCTCATGGCACACTCCATAGCTCTGAGACCCACCTGGATGTCTCTGAAGTTCGTCATGAGGCCCTGAAAGACTTCTGAGGCATACAGGGGGCACTGGGTTCCACATGAGTGAAGTAACATGTGGCTGCTTGCCAAGTAAACAAGGTTTGGGACAGCAGCTCCTAGTGGGGCTGTATAAGCATTCAGACACCGATAATCGATTGTTAATCTCCACCTTCCACCTGGTTTTGAACTGGCCAAACAGGCGAGTTACATGGGGAGTGTGTTCTGGAAATGATTTGTATTTTCTCCAAATCTGCTATGACTTCAGAAATCCCACATCATGCTGCAGCAGAAATGGGGTACAGTGGTATGTTAGTGACCACTGATGCAGGGAGCACAGGGGCTGTGTGAAGTACACACGCTGCAGTCTCCCTATTTCTCTGGGGTTTGGGATTGAAACTTGACCCAAAAGGCCATACACTGCCATACAGGCAGGTGCTAGGTTCACCCACTGAGAATGTCAAATCCTGAAATGTTTTCACAATGGTCTTTAATTGCAAAGAAAGTAGGTAACACACATTTCTCACTAGAGAGCCATAAGCTGTCCCCATTAGTTTGGCAGACCTCACTCGTTCCAATCACACCGGTAATCTCAACTTTGCTGTCCAGGCTGCACACTCAGCTTTTCAGCATCTTGCTGTATCAGTATTGAAATTTGTGCTCCCCTATCAGAAATTTTACCAAATGCCTTTGAGGACAAAATTGAATCAAAATATGCGTGCCATTATTGCTCATTCACTGATAAAACTCCCCTTACTGGACAGGCAGATCCAATCACCTGCTTGTAATTAGTCTTTTTTTTTTTTCTTCTTGTTTACAGTCTGAAGCAGTGATTGAGCACCTGGTGAGGGGTGTGGCCAGCCCTGCCAGCACAGGTGGAAGCAATTTACCTGTGGGACCGGATAGGGCTGAGCTTGGCTCCACCCCTCCCTGCCCATATTTAAGGGCTGGGAACAGCAAGGGCAGCATTCTGCTTGGGAACTGCCTCCTTGGGAGTGTTGGAAGTGAGTTCTGCTCTTCGGAATGGGGTGAGTGATTGATGCTTTATTGTAGGGTTCTGGTCTTTCTGTTTTTGGGGATCCTGACTGCTTTTAAGGGCTGAAAGCTGTAAGGGCAGCATCTCTGCATGGAGACTGCTTCCTTTGGGGTGTGGGCTGAGTGTTTGTTTTTGGAATGGGGTCATTGATTTCTTTTTTATTGGTGGATTGTAATTTCACTTTCTGGGGGGCTACTGACCACATTTAAGGTCTGTCAGCAGAAAGAGCAGCAACTGCACCTGGAGGCTGCTTCCTTTAGAGTGTGGGGTGAACCACTGAAACAGAGTGAGTGATTCTTTATTCCAGGGTTGCAATATCTTGTTTTCGGGAGGATCCTGACCCCACTTAAGGGCTGGCAGCCTTTAAGGTGGCATCCATCTTTAGAGACTGTCTCCTTGGGAGTGTGGGGTGAGGTCTGGTCCTTGAGAAAGGATGAGTGATTCCTTCTTATTTTAGGGCTGTGACCTTTCCCTTTTGGTTTTTGGGGGCATCCTGACCACATTTAAGTGCTGACAGATGTAAGGGTAATGTTGATCTCTGGAGACTGTCTCCTGTGGAGCAGGGGTGAGTTTTGGCCTTTGAGAAGGGTGTAAATGGTTTCTTCTTCATTTCAGGGCTGCAATCTCCCTTTTTTTTTTTTTTTTTAATTTTTTTTTTTTTATTATTATTATTTTTTTAGTATCCTGACCACTTTTAAGGGGTGGAAGCCATAAGGGCAGTATCTGTACCTGGAGACTACTTCCTTGGCAGTGTGGGCTGAGTGTTCATCTTTGGAATGGGGTAACTTATTCTTTCTTTATTTCAGGGCTGTTATGCACTGCTTCTAACCATGCAGAGTTGTTTAAGGGCATTCTGTGCACCCTTAGGTGTAATAAATCTTCATCTTTATAGGAAGCCAAAGATTGTCTTCTTCTGGACTGCCGTACTCAGCCTCACCCCAGATATCTCCATCCTAACTGTCTGGAGATGCTGTTAGTTTCCTAATCTGTATGACACCCAAATCCCAATTTCTCTTCCTCCCACCCCCTGACCCGCATTCAATAGCTCTGCAGCTCTGGTTCCCGACAACGTGATGAAGTGAAGCCCCTGGTCTGCTGAATACTGGGACTGGCCTAGAGAGGCTCTGTGACGGATGTGGATTATCCCAGCTGGAGTACCTGGTACCATTGGTGGTGACCTCATCCAACCGCCACACAACGAACAGGAACATCCACAGCCAGATCAGGTCGCCCGGAGGCTGACCCAGCCTCACCTTGGAAGGGACAGGGCATCCATCACATGTCTGGGTAACCTGTTCCACTGTGTCACCACCCTCACTGTACAAGATTTTCTTTATATCTAGGCTAAATCTTTCCTTGTTATTGCCTTCAAGTATTGAAAGGCTGTTACCAGATCACCTCAGAGCCTTCACTTCTCCAGGCTGAGCAGCTCCAGCTCTCTCTCTTTATAGGAAAGGCATTCCATCCCTCAGTTCATATTTGTGGCTGTTCTCTGGATGTGCTCCAACAGCTCCACGTCTGTCCTGCACTGCGGACATCCACATCCAGACACAGCACCTCCAGGTGAGGTCTCACAGCGCAGAACAGAGGGGCAGGACCGCCTCCCTTCGCCTACTGACCACACATCTTTGGATGGAGCCCAGCATACGGTTGGCTTTCTGGGCCAGGAAGGTACATTGCTGAGTGCCCACTACTCAGCC